ATCCTAAGAGCTGTTGTGGGTCATTGCCTCCTTGGACTTTCCTAGTTCCCAGCAGGCAGGAAGAGGGCAAAGTGCCTTTGCAGAACTGGGAGGTGATCACTTTGGGGTCAGGGGCACACTCTGGGCCACCAGATACACAACTCTAGCAAGGTCTCTGGTCTCGCAGCTCCCTTTAAAACTCATAACAGAGGCTGCACAGAGTGACCTTGTGATAGAGAGAACCTGAGAGAAGATTCTCGTTGGCAAGTCCTATTCTGTTGGTAATCACACTTAGTTGGACACCCACCATCTGTTGAGCAGATTCCAAGAAGGAGCAAGCAGCAGTGTAAGGACTTTCTGAGTGAACCAGAACCCCAGCTCAGCGGTTCTGAGTCATAGGAGGGAGGGGGCACTTCTGCTGCACCAAGATCCGTGGCACAATAACTCAGGCCTACCTGGGCATCTGTAAAATGTGGGACCCATATTCCCATTTTGAGGCAGTTAAGACAGTAGGCATATGTAGGTCTCAGTCTTTGGGCAAGCCAGCTTCCTGTTCAGTGCCAACCTCTCCCACGCCAGGAACCACAGAAGAGGGACATCCGCAGCTTCGCAGCCTCACTGTTTAGGGCAGCTCTGACCCTGGAGGTTATGGAGGAACTGCTCCCAAGAAGCATTCTTTGCATGCAGGTGTGCAGGCCAGTTAGACAAGGAGGTCAGGGGGAAGATCATGCAAAGATAGACCCCGGAAGGTTTTTCCTTCTTCCTTTTGTAAAATGTTGCATGAGATGCAGGAGATAACCTTTGTCCTTCTCACCTTCCTAGACTAAACAATTCGGTAGCATCCACTGAGAGATAATGAGTGTTGGCTTGACTTGAATATCCTTTCCTCTATATCCTGGTGTTTCCCTTGTTTACAGCTTCTTTTTGTGAACGCTGCACACACTCTTTCTCCAGCTTGAGGAGCACTTCACTTCCTCTGCAGTCTAGACTCTTAGTAGTGAACTGGGTGGTCTCTTTTCCTTTGGGGATAGTCTTTGCTTTCTCTTCATCCATCCAGTACATCAGTTAGGTCCAGGCCACCAGGTGAGGCTCCACAGCTCCTCCTTGGGTGGTGAGTCATAGGAACAGCTGTTATCCGTTATAATGCAGGGACCAGAAGACCTGGAAACAGTGGTCCTCAGACTTTAGTATGCATAAGGATCTCCTGGGTGCCCGATCAAATCCTGACTCCTAAGCCTCACCTCCAGAGATTCTGATTCAGTAGAAATGGGGAGCCCTAGAATCTGAATTTTTAACAAAGCACCCCATGAATTCTGCTGCAAGTAGAAAAACATTACACTAAAATGTATTTATTTTTGATGTAAAAATAAAATCACAAGAATCAGTGAATAAATATGGGACCTGCTGAGCGCTCTAGTCTTCTGGGAAAAAGCCCTTCCCACTACATACTCTGGAGGAGCTTGACATTAGGGAATTGGTACCACATGCTGGGTACTGTAGGATGACAGGCTTTTATGGCTGAAGAAGACATCCTCCATCCCAGGCCCTGCCCGGTGCAGGAACCTCGTCCAGGGCATTACAGCATCCCTGCCAAGGGGTTGTCCAGCCTCTGCTTGAATGCCTGCAGCCAAAGGGAGCTCACCTGCCAAGGCAGCTCACACTACATTTGAGTAGCTCTGTTAGTTCTTTCTCATATAGAGCTGAAATCTGCTTCCCACCCCCATAGTTGCCATCCATTGGCGATACCGAATAAGACTACTTCTTCCTCCTCACGACACCTCTTTAAATATCTGGAGACAGCGCTCTCATCTCCAGACTGAACACCTGTTCATTTGTTCAACAAACATTCTTTGAACATTTCATCTGAGTCAGGTTGTCTAGATGGTGGGGAGACGTAAGATAGACAGGGTACCTGCTAGGACATTCTAGAGGGGGCAGCCAGATAAAAAGCATGTAAATGAACAGAAAATGGCAGATAGTGGTAAGAAGAGAGTAAAACAGGTAATGTGGTGGATTTGGGGTAGAGGCGCCTCACTAGATAAAAAATCAGGGGCTGGGGGCCTCTCCAAGAAGGTGACATTTGAGCTGAGGCCTGCAGGACAACAAAGAGCTACGCATGCGGTGATGGGGCTGGAGTGTTCCAGGCAAGGGATCAGCAAGGCCCTGAGGCAGGATCGGGCTGGGTGTGTTCAGCAGGTGGAACGAAGGCCCACCTGGATGGAGCACAGGGATGGGGGGTGGGGGGTCAGTGCCAGGAGTGGTGACAGTCAGAGTGGGAGATCCGCAGTACATGGAGGGCCTTTTAGGCCAGGAGAAAGAATTGGAATTTTATATCCAATGAAAGGGAAGCCCACTGCCCTACTTTCTGTTTTATGTCACAGTCAGTGTTTGCCCTCCTGCCCATTCCCAGAACATGCTCATGGTGTTAGCCTTCAGAACCAGCACAGTTGGGCCGGCGCCGTAGCTTGGCGGTTAAGTGCGCGCGCTCCGCTGCTGGCGGCCCGGGTTCGGATCCCGGGCGCGCACCGACGCGCCGCTTCTCCGGCCATGCTGAGGCCGCGTCCCAAGTGCAGCCACTGGAAGGATGTGCAACTGGAAGGATGTGCAGCTGTGACATACGGCTATCTGCTGGGGCTTTGGGAAAAAAGGAAGAAAGAAATAAAAAAAAAAGAACCAGCACAGCCTTCCAGCTGGGTCTGGTGAGCCCAGAGGACCAGTTGGGCACCTGCTGCTGCCTCGCACACGCACAGAGCAGCTTTGCAGTGGTTTATTTTTCCCCTTTAGAGATGTGATTAGTCCCCGAAACCATATTTATGTATAAATCTCTGAAAGTAGAGTTAGTACCATTGAGTCCAAAAATACAGACATTCTCCCCAACAAAAATATTTTAGTCGCCTTCTTCAGGAAGTAGGCACTTAACCCCTGTCAGGTACTGTTGTCAGGAAACTGCAGTGGCTTCCAGACCAGTGTCATAGGATGAAGAGAAAGCCCAAGGCTGATATTTCTTCTCATTCAGGGAAACAGCTTTGGAACTCTGAAGATCAGGAAGGCTTGCACTGCTCTCTTTGCTTATGTGGGTGGAATGCGTGAGGACCACGGGGAAGTAGAGTGGATGGCTTTGTTCTGCTTCAGCGAGCTGCTAGGAAAAGACCCTCTCTAGCTGACCGCGGAGGCGAGGGACCAGTTTCCTGCTGCCAAAGCCCACAGACATGCTGGCCAGAGCTGGGTCCTCCGAGCACAGAGCCCTTTGCCAGTCTCTGGGTCTTCCTGGGGAAGGGGCTGGGATCTTTAGTGCAAGGTTAGAAGGGACCAGCCAGACAGCCTGAGGAGCAAAGGCTGGGAAGCAAGACCCAGGTCCCAAAGGGGCCAAAAACATCCGAGAGCATGGGAGTCTCCTCCAGCTCAGGTCCAGCTGCGCCCTGGGTGCTGGGAATTAGGTTGTGAGTGGTCATCTCTGGCGAGCAGGGCTGGTGGCCCGTACCCGAAATTGAAGTTTGAAATATGGACCAGCAGAGTGGGACTGCCGCTAAGGAAGCTCTGCAGCGCCTGAGCACGGACCCCTGGGCCAGACAGAGGAGTGCGCCCAGGAACAGACTGCAGGAACAAAGAAGAACATGTGGCCCATGCATGGCACCCGCTACCTCGGGTCACATGGTCCTTGCATTATCTGGCATGATACGTGGCTGGCAGCCCACTGGGCTTGCCTGGCGCTCAGCAAAGGCATAGTGAGACCCAGATAGTGTTGGCCACAGTTCCTGCCTCCACTCAACAGACCTGGGTGATCCCAGTGGGTCCTGTAGGCACAGGAAGCTTCAGACAAGGTCTGGTGGTGGGGTGGGGCTGCCAGTTCTGAAACTCTATCCTTCCAGAAGAAGAAAAATGAGTGAAGTGCCTGTATTTCAGTCTGGGGTCATTGTTTCCACATTGGCTTATAGGCAGGGCTCCACATGGGTTCTTGCTTCCTGCAGCATGACCACTTGTCTCCCAGACACTGGTGGGAAACACCAAGCGGTCAGTGGGTCCACCTCAGGCAACTAACATCAATCATGAGGGGGCCCAGGGAGCCGAGCTGAGGTCCTTCTGTGATACCATCAATAGCCCAGGGCCCTGGGGGGATTGCAGGTGGACACCAGAGGGTAAGACACAGGGGTTGAGTCATTCAAAGTAAGCCCAACCAGAACGGGGGTGCTGGGTACTGCTTGAATGTGAGGATGTGTGTCCATCAGTGGTGGACCTTTGTCCTGAGTGTGAGTGTGCCTGTCCATGCGAGTGTGTGTCTCTGGGTGAGTCTGCTGATTTTCCTGAAGTCTGATCCAAGTGTGCCTGACTCCCAGAAGGTGAGTATTCCCAGAACTTTCACCTTGCCCACCAAGCCTGGGAGGCCTCCATGTCTCCAAAGTAAGTGGGCTTCATTTGTCTTCCTGGGTGCAGTGAAGAAGGGTAAACCATGCAGCCAGTGTGGTCCAATGTCGTGACCCTCTGGAGCTGTTCCTAAAGAGGGGGAGAGGGAGCAGGATAGTGTATTGAGTATCCTCTTGTCCCTGACATCACCGCAAGCCCAACGGAAGCCCTGGGAATCCTCTGCCACACCTTTTGGGACCCTGTCCCTGACTACTCCCAGGAGCCAAAGCCCAGCCTGAAACCAGTGACCACTGCCTGCCCACCTGCTCCCAGGGCTCACGGGAGATCAGCTGAGCGTGGGTCTGGGGGAGGGAGGGCAGCGATGGAGACATGGCTCCCAGTCACTGCTCTCATCCTGACTTGTGGGGGCCTCGTGCCCGTGTCCCCTGGTCTATGAGATGAGGCTGCCTTCCCTTCCTCTTGAAGATATAAAGATACCCTGTTGTCTCAACACCTGGGCATAGAAAGGCCCCAGGGAAGGTGCCACTCTGGACACAAATGCCATGACTTTGTCCTGTGGGCCCCACCCCACCCCCAGGGGCTGTAGCTCTGCAGAGTCCAGCGGTCTGCCTCTCAGTGTGTTAACCACCAGCCATCTCTCTCTCTCTCTCCCACTCAAGCCAATGGCAGCCCCACATCAGGCCTGAGCACCGGGGCCATCGTGGGCATCCTCATCGTCATCTTTGTCCTGCTCCTGGTGGTTGTGGACATTACCTGCTACTTCCTGAACAAGTGTGGCCTGCTCATGTGCATCGCCGTCAACCTGTGCGGAAAAGCCGGGCCTGGAGCCAAGGGCAAGGACATGGAGGAGGGCAAAGCCGCCTTCTCGTGAGTGCAGACCTGCCCGCCCTGCTGAGGTCTGGGCTCTGTCCCAGCCCAGGGGCCCAGCAACTGAGCCCCTTCAGTTTCCCCATTTGGAAGCCCCAAGGGGGAAAAAGCATTCGAGAAATGTTTCTCACAGCATGGTCTTTGGGGGTGCCTGTTTGAAAAGCAGACTCTCAGGCCCAACCCCACATCTAGTGTATTAGAATCTCACAGAAGTTTGAAAATCCCTGCCTAGGTACAAATGAGGGGAATTGTCAGAGCTAAGCCTGGAGGGGATCTGCCATGGAGGGGCCAGCATTTGAGAGACACACCTGCCTTGCTGTCATTCATTCATGTATTCACTTGTTCATTCATACATTGCTCTACAGCTATTTATCCACACAGCTACTGTGGGCAAGGCAGTCTTCCCAGGCACAGGGTACAGCAGTGAATGAAATGGATGAAATTCCTGTCCTTCTGGAGCTGACAATCCAGATGCCCTCCCCTCCAGCATCTCTGGAGAACAGATCCTGATCCAATTAGCAGGAGCCTTTGCAGACTGTCACTGGGCGGGGCAGAGCTAGAGCAAGGCAAGAAAGGATAGAGTGAGGAAATAAGTTGTTAGCACCACGTGCCAAGCATTGTATATATGTATACGTATACATACATGTACATATACGTGTACATGCTTACATGTATATAAATACAGATTACATGAGCACTTATCTGTGCCAGGCACTGTGCTAAGCACTGTACATTCATTATCTCGGTTAATGTTCATAACAGCCAGGTGAGATGGAGGCTGTTCTTTGCCCCATTTCACAGATGAGGAAATGGGGGCAGAGGTGAACAGATCAAATGCTGAAGGTCACACAGCTCGCAAGAGTTGGGGCTGAGGCTCAAGCCCTTGGGTCTGGCCCCAGATGCCCACCCTGCCAGGCTTGGGTCAGGCCTCGGTTCCTGAGCTGTAGCTGGCTTCCCTGGGAGCCCCCTCCCTCCCCCAGCTCCCTGGGATCAAACCAATGGAACTTTCTCCACAGGAAAGATGAGTCCAAGGAGCCCATCGTGGAGGTGCGAACTGAGGAGGAGCGGACCCCTAACCACGATGGAGGGAAACACACAGAGCCCAACGAGACCACACCGCTGACGGAGCCCGAGTACGTGGGCGGGAGGGGCTGGCACCTTCTCAGCAGAGCCCCACACCCACCTCACCATCCTGCCCACACCTCTCGCACTTTCCACCCGCAGCTCCCGGCCAAACTGTGCAGGCCAGAATTCTGGAGCCCTTGGCCAGAAATGCCTTGGCTAAGAAATGCCTGACCCCACTCTCTCCCTAGAGAGAAGGCATTCTTGGTTCTATCTGGGTGGCTGTGGGTGCCCTTAAAGGGCTCCTTGCATAAGTGGGGTCCCTAAATCCTGTTCCCAAGTTACACACACATCCTGAAAATGGCTTATGGGGCAAAACTTCAATGAGAGAGGCTGAGCTTTGAGAGGCTTAGCAGATTCTATTTAAGATTTCCAAGAATTCTAGGTTTCCACATTCCTTCTAAAAGGGTGAGGGAAGTTGGGGACCTGGTCAAGCTCCCTGGCCCTCCTGTTCTGGGAAATCTCGGGGACCCTCAGTCAGAAAAGATGTCCAGCTGTGGTTGTAATGACCGCCTGGCTATCACGGGTGCTATTTGTTTGAAGGAATGGAGTTTAATGGAAGCACAAGATCTCTGGCTGGAGAAGTCACGGCTTCTAGGGGCCATTTGGAGCACTCATCAGCTGCCTTATTCCTGACTTCCCCCATCACTGCCCAGGAGGCTGCAGAGCAGCTGGGCCCAATTGCTCGGGGGGCCTAGGATGCCTGCAGTGATGGATGCTGAACTGAAGGCTGCCTCTCCTTGAGTTGAGTTGCAGGCAGGGATCAGAAAGAGCCCGGCAGGGCTGTAGGGAAAGGGAGCCTTGTGCAGAGAGCTGGAGGGCAGTCAGCAGGGAGGAAGGGCTAGCAGGTCCCTTTTAGACTGCCACGTTCTCTGTCGTCTCCTGTCTCCTCTTCTGCCCGCCTGGGCATGTACTTCCTCTCAACATCCGCATTTCTCTGTGGGCCTGTGTCTGTGCCTGTGCGTAACTGCATGCCCCGCCCATGGCCCCCTCCTTGGCTTCAGCCCGGCCCCCTGCTTCTCTGTCTCGTCTCAGCTTCATTGTCTATTCTCTTCTACTTCCTGTCCTCCCCACAGGCTGCCTGCTGACACCACAGCCACTGTCGAGGACATGCTGCCTTCTGTCACCACCGTCACCGCTAACTCTGACACTATCACCGAAACCTTTGCCACTGCTCAGAACAGCCCCACCAGTGAGACCACCACTCTGACCTCCAGTATTGCCCCCCCGGCCACGGCCACACCTGACTCAAACTCTGTGCCCGCTGGCCAGGCCACCCCTTCCAAGGGACCTGGCGTCACCACCTCCTCCCCACCCCCAGCTTCAGCCCCCAAGGTCGCCCCCCTTGTTGACCTGAGCGACACCCCCACCTCAGCCCCTGCTGCCAGCAATTTGTCTTCTAGTGTCCTGGCTAACCAGGGGGCTGTGCTCAGCCCAAGCACCCCGGCCAGCGTTGGGGAGGCCTCCAAGGCCCCTGCGGCGAGCAAGCCAGCCCCTGCACCAGGCCCTGCCTCCGCTGGGACAGCCAGTCCCCTAGCAGTAGCAGCTCCTCCTGCCACAGAAGCCCCCCAGGCCAAGCAGGAGGTTCCCAGCACCAAAGGCCCGGACCCTGAGCCCACCCAGCCCGGCGCAGTGAAGAGCCCGACCGAGGCAGCCACAGCCCTCGCTAGCCCGAAGAGCGAGGCTGCCTCTGTCAGCGCCACAAACCCTGCCCAGGGCGAGGACTTTAAAATGGACGAAGGGAACTTCAAGACCCCAGATATTGACCTTGCAAAGGATGTTTTTGCAGCCCTGGGCTCTCCTGCTCCCGCCGCTGGGGCCAGTGGACAAGCCCCTGAGCTTGCTCCTTCCACTGCAGACAGCTCTGTTTCGCCTGCACCAGCAAAGACCGAGTACGGCCTCTCTTTGTCTGCTGTCGTCGGGTTGTGTCCCGTGGTGGTGTGCGTTTGTGCTGTGCTGTGTCTTCCTTGTTAGATGTGTCTTCAGCCTAATCCAGGGCTTCTCTGAGGCGACTGTCAACCAAGGGGCTGGGATAAGGCAGAGAGAGCAGGGACAGCAGCAAGGCCCAGCCAGCAGCTGCCTGCTCACTAATTAGGCCATGTTAATTATGTCTCATCCTTATCGTCCTAGCAGTGGCTTCTCTTTTCCCTGGAGGAGCCCTTGCAGTCGGGCCACTGATGAGCATAGCTTGGGAAGCGAGCTAAGGAGGCCAAGGTGTCCTTATCAGCCACCCCGGGGCCACAGACAGTCAGTGTGTTATCCAGTGCCAGGCTGAGTCCTCACCAGAACAGCACCATTATGCAGGAAGAAGAGAAGCAGACCTCAAGGCCCATGGGGAGAGGATCTGTGAGAAGGCCCTGTCACTCTCCCAGCAGACACCCCCACACACACCACCTACTCTTGCTTCTCCTGCTCTTGAGTGGCCGGGAAGACTCAGAGCTCCCGAACACCAAATGACTGTTGGGGCTCCAAGTTCAAGGGAAGGTCCTTAAGCTCACAGGTTTCTTCAGTGTGATGCCAAAAAGCAGCAGCTCCAGCTGGGGCTGGGGTCTGAGCCTGCCCCAATGCATCCTTAGACCAGACTCTTGCTCCTGGGACTGATGGAGACGGAGTCAGACCTAGGTTTTTATAGAGGCTCCTGTGTCTGCCCCTAGATAAGGTGCAGTGCTGCCACCAAGAGCTGCAAGGGGACCCCCCAGGAGCCCTGAATCTCAGTCAGGAAGTAAAAGGACTCTGATAGCCCTGTCCCCTCACCCCACTCATCCTCCCCTGTAGCATGGCAGCCCACTAGCCTCTCTGCAGACAAAGCATTTTCTCACCCTGCTCAGGCAAACCATTGAGGCGTCACCATGAAACACACAGGTTGAGGTGAGGGTGGGGACAGGCAAGAGCAGGTGGTTTGCAGTGAGGCCCCCTGGAGTCAGTCCTGGGGAGCCCAGCCCAGCACGCATCATTTATACCCCGCTGGGCTGCTGCTACTGCAGCCAATCAGGGTGAGGAAAAGGCTTCGTCTGCCCCGCCTTCCACCACCCCAGGTAAAGACCAAGCGCCTGGCTTTGCGTTGGGGCTGGAACAAGAAAAGTCTCATTCCTCTGATTCAGTGGCTCTCAACTTTGTCTGCACATTAGAATCACTTGGGTGCTTTTAAAAGTCACCATGTCCAGACCAATTAAATCAGGATTTCTGGGGGTGCGGCCCAGGCCTCAGTGATTTTTAGAGGTCCCAAGTGATTCCGACGTGCAGCCGAGGCTGGAGACCAGCGCTCTACCTGGAGCCCCTCCCGAGGGACTGGCTGAAGGGTGAGTTACTGCGGACCCTGGTCTCAGTGCTGTTTTCCCGATTCTCTGCAGGAAGGGCCCCGTAGAAGCAAAGTCGGAGTCCCAGGAGACAGAAACGAAGCCAGCGCCAGCCGAAGTCAAGACGGTCCCCAACGACGCCACACAAACAAAGGAGAACGAGAGCAAAGCATGATGGGTGACAAGAAACGAGCAAAGATCAAAATAAAAAGTGACACAACAGCTTCACCAGAGCATTTCCAATATTACACAAACACACACACGCACACACACAAACACACACATCTCATTCCTCTAGTGTCTTTTGCCTTTAAAAAAAAACTAAGCAGATAAACATGGAATATCCTTTTTGTAGGTTTATAGAAAGGGTTCCTTTGTTGCCCACTCACTTGTAAGAAAATGAGACAAAAAGGTTAAACCCACAGCCAAACTAGGACACTCCGTTCCCTGAAACCATTTAAAAATCAAACAAAAGGACCCCAAATTAAGAATCTAGGAAGCTCAGAAAAAAAATCTAGGTTCAGGAAGACCACACGTGGTGTTGCCCCATTGGCACAGACCAGTTTCAGAGAAATACTTCCAGGCACTAAGACTAACCGAATGAACAAAGTCCAAGTTTATTTTTATACTTTCAGTCGAGTTTGAACTCTGTAAAACCTCATAAATAAGTTATAATTTCTGTTCACTTTGTGATTTGTTCAGTATGCAAAGTGTGTCACCCTTTCTAGCTGAATTCAATTCCCACGTAGACTCTTGTTTTGTAGGAAGAATGCCAAATTGCAGCTTCTGGGGGTAGATCTCAATTTGCAGTATTTGGATTTCTTTTTCTTTCCTTTTCTTTTTCATTCCTTTTTTTTTTTTCCTTTCTGCCAACTTTGTTTCCCAGTGTTTACAAATTGACAATGTTTGACTTTGGTTGTGTTTAAATGTCCATGTAAAATAGCGGCCTTTTTTTGTTGTTGTTACAAATACTGCCTAGAGGTGGGCAGGATCCTCACAGGCTTGCTTTAGCACCGGACAACTTTACAAAATATGATTGTTTACAGTGGCTCTTCTCCCCCTCCCCCAGCCCCCAGTCTGATTTGAAATTTTTGCCTGTGTGCGACTCAGGTGAAAATCCATCTCATTCTGGAATGGTTTTGCTTTTTGGTTCTCGGTTCTTTGTGTGTTTCCTTGGGGGTTAGACCACTTTCTGATTAGCCACCACCTGGCCTGTCTCTGTGAAAAGGATCTGCTCCCCAGGCATCCACGTCCTTCCTTTTGAAGGACTCTTTAGGCTTTGTTGAATGAAGCAGAGAAGATTGTATAGTTGGGGCTGGTCTTGGTGAACACACATTTTTACCCCCAACATCCCCTTTTTTGCAGAAAGCCAAATAAAATATATACATACAATTTCCTTTTGAGCCCGGAATCTAGATTTGAGCGGAAGAGCATGTGTGCTTCAGGGAATTAGTGTCTTTTTTTGGAAATCTGTTGAAGTAAAGTAACATCGGCCTTCTGTTCCCTTAGGCAGCATTTGTGGAAACAAAAAAAAAAAAAAACAAACAACCCTGCTGTCTGGAGTCATACACAACTTTCCTGGATTGGAAACCAAGTGGGGGAAAAAATACAGAAACTTTAAGGGGGATGGGAGGGGGGAGAAGGGAAAAGCCAGCCCTTTGTATAGAAATTTTGCTTTCTTTTCTCATTCTACTTTAGAACTGCAAGCTTGTGCACTGTGGATGCGTGACTATTTTAGTGTGAAACGTGTTTTTGTCATAGTATTGAAATAAAACTTCAACATAGTTTGGTTGTGGAAGGTATAGCAGATAGTTCAGAAAAAAATATGCAGGAAACAAAAATAACTCTTCAAAGGAATTGAAGCCTTTAAACAAAGAAAATGGAATAAAAGAGATGATGGTGATGAAGATGACACTAGGTTAACAGAAATCAGTCCTCCAGCGCGCGTTCCTTTCCTAAGGTTCAAAACAGCAAGAGGCGAGGGTGAAGGACTGTCCCTGAGCCCATACTGTGGGCCACACTCCCCAATGTTCTGACACTTCTGCAGTCTGATCAGTGGCAATATGCTAGATTTTAATTTCAAACTGTGAAAAAATAATGGTCTTGTCATTTGCTAAATGTGGGGTTATTTTGCATTTTCTCAGCTCCCAGGGATGGAAATGGAGGATCCCAGTGTACCCAGCTCTGGCCCCTTCAATTCTAGGGCTGGTACAAATCTATGGTTCAAATGCACAGGCCCTCAGGAACGAGTAACGTGAAGACGGCTCCTCGAGCATACGGCGGAACAGGAGCTCCTGGGGTCTGAGACGGAGAGGACCCAGTGGGGAGTGGTGGGCTCTTCCTGTCTCCAGGTTGTCAGTGGAATCAATTATGCATCTTGTGATATTAATGGCTTTGACTGCCTAGGCCTGACCCACACTATACCTCATCGAGACTGTGCATTTCACTCCGAGTGGTTGTGGTTAGGCAAACTGATTTTGGTTCTGACGGTTAGGAAGAAAAAGAGGTACAGTCAACCCTCAGATAACCTGGCCCAGGGCAGCTGACCCCCCACCCACCCACCCAGAACCCTGGCTCCGCCATTAGCTGGAACTCAAGACTCTGCCCACCTTTTGGTCTGCCCCTGTCCCATTATGCATAGATTTGTCACCACATGCATGAGCTTCCCTTTCTTCAAAAAAGAAAAAAAAAAAAAAAAAAACAGCAGAGCAATGCTTTCTCTAAAATCAAAGAGAGAGTCACTTTATTTTCAAGATGTTCTATCTTTTATGTTAAGAGATAAAAGCTTATAGTTTTCCTTTTTTAATTTTTTGAAGGCACGAGCAACTCTAGCAGTTTCCCATGTCTATGTGTCTATATGTGTATGTGCCATACATATGTATTCACATAAATACTGGCATGGCCAAGTTCTGCTGGAGGGGCTCTCAAGTGCCACGCGCGGGGTCTCCGAATCCTGAAGGGCCGTAGTGTATCTAGTGCAGCTTTTGAAGTGGAACTCTCTTTTCACACTTTTCTATGGAGCCTTCCAAGTCCCAGGTTTTCACCCTAGGCTGTCTGTCTGGATGGTGGTTTTCAGACCTCCATTAACATCCCTACCCAGCCTTCCCTACTTCGGGGGCCTTCTCTCTTGTTATAAACTTTTTACCAAGTGAAACATCGATACCACCTTTGTTTCCATTCTCACTGGTGTAAATACTGAGTACTAACTGAGAATTTTGACTTTGCATTCTGTCAGAATACTTGTGTTCAATAAAAATTGAAAGAAAAAAAACTGTTATGGTCAAACTGGGATTTATTTCAATTCAGTGAGAGTCTGTCATATGAATCAAATGTAGAAATGCTAGTGGTATTGTTTTTGACCTTGTGAACAGTGTACTGGTTAATGAATGAGGCAATGTACAGTCGTTCGCCATGTAACGACGTTTCTGTCAACAACGGACCACACATAAAACAGTGGTCCCATAAGATTAGTACCATGTAGCCTAGGTGTACAGTAAGCTGTACCATCTAGGTTTGTGTAAGCACATTCTATGATGTTCGCACAATGACGAAATTGCCTAACGACAAATTTCTCAGAACATGTTCCCATTGTTAAGCGACGCGTGACTGTATATGAAAGCCTAGTATAGTACTGTCTTGGCACATAGTAGGTACTCAACAAGTGGGAGTTAGTGCTCTTGGCATCCCAGGTGTGTGATAGCATTGAACCCAATTGGAATAACAATCTACACCTGAGCTCCAAGAGTCCAGCACTGACGTAGGCACCCAAGGCTTCTTCTAGAATGCATGATGCCTCTCCTCATGACTTGGCCATACCTCTCAGCACTCAGAACCTTAATTCAGCCCTTGGAGTTTATTAAAGTCTCCGAGCTAGAAAAGGAGTGAGGAAAACTTTGCCTCAGCTCAGAATTCTCTTGCACATGCTCTATCCGGCTGTGTTGGGAAGAAGTAGCCAATAGAGTTGAAATTATCCATTAAACTATGGAATTGGGAGTTCCTGGAGAAGACCTGGCCACTGGGCCACGACTTGGGTGAGGCAAGTGTGGCGCCTACGGAGCAGAACATAAAGAGGCCCTCTCAGGACCGACCCTAACCTGTGCTAGTCTGAGGTACCTCCTTCTCTTGTGTCCTATGTGCCTCTCCCTAGTCCCTTGCAGGGTCAGTGGAGCCTTCCCCTGGGGAGGTGTCTGTACCCATTCCCAGGAGTTGTCCCTTCCTTGGCCTTAGGGTCTGTTCCAATGACACAGAGCCACATGCATCTATGTGATTTCCTGTGCCACAAATTTCCAGTTGCATATGGCGGGGTGGAAGATGATAAACAAAAACACATTGCTTATGAAGATTTGGATAAATCATGAAATGATTGATCCATTGACCCAGGAGGGCTTGCTTCCAGAGCCTTCCTCCTTAGGCTAGTCTCCTCTCCAATTCGCTCAGTATGTATTTATTGAACCTCTCCAAGGTGCTCGGGATACAGCAGTGAACAAAAGTCTCTCATGGAATGTCAGTTCAGGTGTGGGGGTGGGGCAGACAATAAGCACGGAAATGCCTACTATGTTGTGGTGGTCATTGGGACTGTGCCGCAATATTCCAGCTTTTCTCCTCCTTCCAGGCACATAATAGGATTTCATTTCTCTGATCACTTAAAGTAGGCATGGCCATGTGACTTGCTTCTGTCAATGGAATATGAGTAGGGTAGTGCATGTCACTTCTAGGCAGAGCCTTTGAGAGCCAGTGTGTGTCTTACTATGGCCCTCTTCCCCTGCCACAGCAATCAGCAATGCGGCAAGTGGTGGAAGTCTATCACCTGGGCCCAGAGTGAGGGATATGAACAGATGACCCACAATGGACACAGATCTTGTATGAGGGAAAAACCCAGCGGTGGTCTGATAAATGTTTAACGACAGGCTCTCCAAGGTGAGAGGGGAAGGGATAAATATATGTATGGTGTGTGTGTATGTTTACTATAAACTTTACTGGTATAAAGAATGAAATTTACAAATAATAAAATATACAGTACTCTATATTGAAATTCCATATATCCAATTGATACTCACAGAATGCTCTGGTTCATTTTTGCTGAAGTCTTGCACCCATAATCAACGTATGGTTACAATTGATGCATGAGCTTAGTTCCAAGAATGTTGCTTGATATTTGCATTTATGTTAACAAGTAAGATGAAAGTGAAACAATGAAGATGTATATGTGGGAACTTCACTCATTCATCAATGGGGTGAGGGGCCTCTTTGCTGAATCGGGTATAAGTTGTTGAATACTAGAATATTGCCTCGATTTTTTTTGTGCTATTCACAGTGTAATGGGTGTAGGCATGACACATTTTTAAGTTTAATCTGTATCATAAATATTTCCCTATAATTTTCTTAAGTCTAGACAAGCACACACATACAAAACAATCAAACCCTGGTGTGTAGCATTTACTGGTTTCGGTGGTATGTCAGTATTCCCGGTATGGCCAATTTGAGCATGTCGTCATTGGACGAGGACTTAGGCAGAGGCGCACAGTAGCACATCATTATATAGCATTTCCACCATACAGATAGAAGAGACGCAAATAACCTCAAGCACAGAGACAATAGTTATGAAGTAATAACAAACTATTAATATACATTAATAGTAAAATGTAGTACAATAATTGAGAAGTGATATATTTTGAGTATTTAGGTCCTTTCTTTTTAATACAATTTTGTTAATTGTAAGTTTGTGTAATTTAACTTTTAATGGCTGTGCTTAACAACTGGCTCACAGATTTCCTCAAAATTGAACAATTGGCTCTCTTGAGCCAGTATAAGCTGGCTCCAGCATACCACTGGATAACCCTTCATGTTATAGGCCATTTGACCTTAGGATCTGTTACAATAGCATTATTTAGCCTATCATGGCTAAATCAGGGAGTGTTAAGTGCTACAGATAACAATAATTTCAGGTGCGGGGGAAGGTCAGAGTAGTCCTCTCTGAAAAGGTGACATTTGAGCAGTGACTTGAAAGTGAGGGACTGAACCACGCAAATATCTGAAAGAAGATATCTCAGGCAGAGAGAACAGCAAGTGCAAAGGTCCTGAGGTGGGAACTTGCTTGATGCGTCTGAGGAAGAGCAAGGAGGCCAGTGTGCCTGGAGCAGAGAGCAGGGGCAGAGGCGGAAGATGAGTCAGAGTGACCCTGAGTTAGATCTCATGGGGTCTTTAGACTATTGTTAGAATTTTGGCTTTTCCTTCGAGTCGAGATGGAAAGCCAAGGGCAAATTTTGAGCAGAAGCCTGATGTGACTTAACTATTTTTGAAATGATCACTGTGGCTGCTTGGAGGAGAACAGATCAAGAGAGGAAGTAAGAATACCAATTAGGAGGCAACAGTCTAGCCGGAGCAAGATGGTGTGCTTGGAGCAAGCTGGTTCCAGTGGAGGGTAGGCAATGGCCAGGTTCTGGCTATCTACTGAAGGTAAAGCCAGCAAGATTGGATAATGGACCAGATGTGGGGTTTGAGAGAGGCAGCAAGAATGACTTCCAGATTTGGGGCCTAAACAATTGAAAGGATGGATTCGCGATTTACTTTCTAAAAGGAGTAAAAGAGAAGCAGATTTGGGGGACGTAGAGTTTGGTTCTGGACACTTACAGTCCAGATACCTGTGAACACTCTAGTGGACATTTTGAATAGGCTGAAGCTCGAGAGGTCCAGTCTGGAGACACACGTAGGAGCTGTCAGCATAGAGCTTGTATTTGAAACCCTGGCACTTGAGATCCCCAAGGAAATGAATATGGATTAAAAAGAGGAAAGAACTAAGCAAGGAACCCAGAAAAGAAAATTCACAGGCCGCTCTCTGTCAAGGAGAACCATCAGACAATCCTGCTATACCATTTGCAGCCTCAGCCCGGGGGACAAGGGTGGGAGAGGCAGCGACTCAGTGTCCTCTTTCCACAGTGGCCTCCTCTTCTTATTCTCCTAATAGGATTTGCATCCATCTGTCCTGCTGGCTGGCACATATGGTCACTGCTCTAGAGTCTAGAGAATAGATTTTGACTTGTAGCTAGAAAAAAATGTTCTAGGATCCTTGTCACCTTGGGTACTTGTATGTCCGCCTCTACTCTAGTGGGTTCCCTCCATTGCTGTCCACCCCTGCTGCCTCCCACGCATATTCAGAAACACGCCAATAAGGTCGCCCACGAGGAGTGCCTTGTGTGAGGGGGAGCCCCAGCCTCATTCCTGGTGTTTGGGGCAAGCAGAGTAGGGTGCCTCTGAGGGATGAGAGTCACTTTCAACATAGCCAGTGAAAGCAAGGCTCCCACATAAATCTCCACCCCAGGAACTCTGAGCTTGGATGGCAGAAGCTGGATAATGAAGGAGGTCTCATTGGATTTTATCTGGTGGCCTCCAATCCATTGGCCTCGCTCTGGACAGAATGACTTGTGAAGAATGCAGATTTCATCATGCCACTTCCCCCTCCACCCAGCAAGATCTTCAGTAGCTCCCAACCACCCTCAGAAGAAAATGCAGACTCCTTAACAAGGCTAACAAACCCATCTTGTTCACTGCTTCACTCCTTGCTTACTGTTCCAGCCCATTCTTAGTACTCCTCCAAATTGCATTCTGTGCTCCAGCCCTGCTGCACTACTTGTGGGTCCTAAAATGATCCATCTTCTCTCCACTTCCAAGAAC